ATATTCAGATTTTATCAAAATTTCTGGTAATATTTTTAATAAATAAAATTCAAAAACCGGCCAAGTGCATGTCGGGCCACGCGCAATGTAGGATTCGGTAATTGCCCATCACAATAATGCGGACTAAGAAGAGAGCTTTTTGTTGTTTGATACAAAACGTTAAAGTTAACGGTTTCGACGGCTCATAGCGTCTAAAAACGATAAGGATATTATGATTATATTTTTTTTATATTTCACAAGGTTCATAAACTTACATTTACTACATATGTTATACAACTAATAATGTTATATAAGTAATTTTCAATGGAATTTGTACGAAATGTTTACTTCACGCATTTTGTAAGTTGGTCGACTATTACTAGTATACTTATAAAACCTCCTTAGCTGTGATAGTTTTCCTTTTAACTTCGTTTTATATAAATACTACTACTGCGACTGTTTTTTCACAAATCCAAAAATAACCATTTAGCTGCCTTAGTGGTACACTTCACTCTAACAAAAATTAGCACTTAAAAGCTTAGTATTTCACAAACAGACCCCTAATCGAAAAATTGTTTTCACAGACACGCAATATTTTTAAAAGACCTATCCAATGACACCCCACACCATCCCCACTTTACGTGTAGAGAAGAGGTGCCTTAAAAAACATTTATTTTTTCTAGATTTTATTTCACCACTTACATTACAGCTTTCTAGTACTGAGTCTCTGAGCTAAACTGCGTACAGACGGACGGACTTGACGATATTTTAAAGATTCCCTGTTGACTACGGAACCCTAAAAATACTAACGTTATAATTATTGATATACTAGCATTGCCCGCGGCTCCGCCCACGTTCAAATGACCAAAAACCAAATTCTTGGGTTATATTAGTATACCTTTACATTGCAGTTTTTGTATTTTTTCTCAGAAGTGAGATATTTTCCCGCGGTAAAAAGTATCCTATATATTGACCCGGATAACCAGCTATCACCATACCAAATTTCATCAAAATGCCTCTAGTGATTTTTCTGTGATGCGGTAACAGACAGGCAAAAAATCTAAAAACTATAGATTCGGCCTCCGTGACGAAAATAAGGTCTATTTCAATAAGATTTTCCAAAAAATATTTAATGTATAGACTCGGCTTAGTTACAATTTTATTTTAAGTATAGATAAATATGTACTATGTACTTCTGGTAGAAGAACACTTAAGCGTTAGGTACATATACATAATATGTATGTAAATATTTTTTTCTGTTCGTTTTAACACACTTTTTGAATATTTAAAATAATCATAATGAATCTATTCAATAATGAAGTATAAGAAAAAAATAACAAAAATCAATATTTATATTAAAACTTTTAAAAATCATTTCTAAATAGAGTGCCTACTAGGGATTAAGATAAAATAAAACAACACAGTATAATTAATTACGTATTTCCTCAATAAAGGGAGATAAGAGTGCGTTAATTAGATAAATTAACACTAATTCGTGAAACAGATGTGAATCTTGCATTGTGCAAGTTATATAACAAACCAGTTCGACCGGAGAGGGCTTTGAGATGCACCGTCCTGACCATGGCATACTAAAGGAAATAATCTCACATAAATTTCGATTTCATTCTTATAGGCTTTCTTTTTGGTATGGTCAATGTCGCAAAATGCCTTGATGTGGTAACATCTCCATAATGAAGTTAAAAATTATAATATTGATTCTTAGTGTTAATAAGGATAAAGGCTGACATGTTATGTGAAGGCATATATAAGACATTGACATAATTTAATATGTGATAAAGTTATTTAAAATCTTACAATTTAAGTTAGATTGAGAACGAAACGTCTCCGGTTAAATTTTAGAGCTTTTGTGTTAAATAGTTTACTTTAAAAATCTTATATTACAGAAAATATAGGAAGCTCTGCTCGTGCTTAGTGAGCGAAACCCAAGAATCTTTAGTGTACCCACATTAATATTATAAATGTAAATCTTTACTATGTATTATTATAAATGTGAAAGTAAATACCTTTTCACAGTTAAGCCACGGAACAAACAATGACATTTATCAAAGACATAAATTGCGTCATGAGAACGGACAAAGGCTAAGTATCATCCCAGTTCCGCTTACTGCCGCGGATAAAAACTAGGAATTTAATATATAAAGATATTATATATTATATTGCTAGTTTTTATCCGCGTATTTATTTATTTTATTAATATTTATTTAAAATCATTATAAGTTAAACGAAGACGGAAATATATCATACGATTATTTGATTAAAGAAGACGTGACATGAAACTCATTAAATGGTTATTTATTTGTCATCCAAACCCAACCCAAGTTATGTTAACTCCACCTACATAAATGATTTGTAATACACTTGCGATTGTATTTTACAATTTTATAGGCTGCCTACGTAATAGGACACTTGAATGAAAAACAATAATTTTATCCCTTACTAGCGGCTCACCCTTGTTTCGCTCGGGTTCGACCCAGACGAGCGACAGCACTATGCAGCACTATAAAAGCACAGATAAATCTATCCCACGGGAACCGTTCATTTTTCCGGGATAAAAAGTAACCGTATGTTTGACTGGCAATATAATCACCAAATTTTACTAAATTAGGTGCATAAGTTGTAACTCGGTTTTTCGCATTTTTTTCTATGTACAGACATTCGACCTTTACAGTTTTATTGTAGGTATACTAGTTGTATATTTTAAATAACGAAACACAAAAGAAGTGCAGCCTAGAATAAGTAGTTTAACGTATTTGCTCTATGTAAAGTCGTAGGCATTGGATATGAACAATAGTTCATTTTTTGGATTTTGGGATACCAAAACGTTAAAAATTATAATATTTAATATAATTAATGAATTTTGTGTACGAACCAAAAGAAATTAAACGGTTAATCACATGGTGAGTGTTACAATATCACACAATATCTATGTAAAGTCGAACAGAAAAATGCGGTAAGGGCAAAAAAATCACCCCAATAATTCCTGAACTGAGTCTTGTATTTTATTATTATTATTACATATGTATATTGTATATAATATATTAATATTATGTACAAATATATATTTGATTGATGTTTTCTTTTAGATGCACAAGTTTGTGCCCACGACTTACTTTACTTGGTATGTCTATTATAGCCCAGAATATAATCTAATTCCATTCTGAATTTCACCTAAATTCTGACCACTTTTACAGCGCAAAAAATAACAAATATTACATACAAAATTGACACATATATAAGCATTTAAATAACAAATTGTTGCGGTATAAAATGAAAAATTTTAACCAAATTATGACTTCGTTCAAGTAACCCTTGAACTTTGTAAAGATTAAAACTTGTAAATATCACAAACGATTTGTTCACAATGACCTTTATATTTCATAGATGTTATGATTGATATTTATGTGAGTAATTAGAGGTGTTACTAAAATGTTTGATCTTTTCCACATGACTAACACTTAATGCTAACATGACGTACTTAGCACATATTTTACTTGTGATTTTAGTAAAAAATGCCTTCTCTATTATTAGATCTTATCATCATCATCTCCCTGCCCATTTCCCAATCACTTGGGGTCGGCGCAGTACATCTTCCATACTGCTGATATGATTTGGCAAAAGTTTTACGACCGGCCGCCTTCCTGACATCAACCCTCCTTGGGAATGCTATTGTTTATCGCGCACGTCTTGTAATATGCACATTTGATATTGTTTTCTTTTAAAACATTTTTTTATACTATTACTCATAGTTGTAATGTAATTTTCCGATATATTTTGAAAAAAAAATCTCTTTATGGCTTAGAAATAAGTTTTGAACACAATATTTTTTTTTTTTGACGTTATCAATTTTTTTCTAAAATTCTTCTCTATAGATCTATTTCTAATTAATAGCTCGTATTTATATATTTTTTTCAAAATTTATAAACACAATGCAATTCAAAACTTAAAAATATTATTTATATAAATTTGGTAAAAATTTAAAAAGTTTAAAAAATGAAGTCATCGAGACAAAATTCACTAAAACTTTGTTTATACGAGTATTATTGCCTATTCAAATCATAAAATCTACATATGCATGTTGAAATTCAATTGAATTTAGTATCTCTTACATTTTCACACTCCATAAGTCAATCGTTGAGCAACTTGAGACAATTTAAAAATCTCCACAATGCATTAACGAACTGCACATATGCATTGTCTTTGCGAAAGAAAAACCTTGGGAAAAATTATTGTTGATATAATAACCGAACATTCCAAATATGACAAATCGTGAATGACAATCGCATTAATTATAGGTTTTGTTTAAATTCAATAACTATTGCTGGCTTTATGTAGGACTCAAATTAAAAAAATTCAATTGGCGAACTTGACCCGACTCTATCTTGACAGTTTATGTTTACAGCAAAAGCGGATTTATGAAGTTCAAAAATTCAGAAATTCACTTTTGCTATAAACAGAAACAGAATGTTAGCGATATTCAAACACTATGTTAAAGTAACAAAACCTAACCTAATAAATATTTGAATAACTCCATTCATACTTTCAATGCTTTAGTCATGATAAGAGCGTACCTAATTTGGAAAAATTCTTTATATACTTATTATGAATTACACTTTGTCATTAAAATAAATTATACACTTTGTAATTATAATCAAATGTATTCGTAGTATTAACTTTTATTGAAGAAATTATTTTATTGTTTGTTTGAATGATGAATGAATCTCTAGCACTGATATTACATAATTAGATTATAAAAAAATTTGCATTCTATAGTCTATTTATTGAATTATGTTGTAATAGGCTATCTAACATCACATAAATGTAAATAAATATATTGGGACATTAGCACACATCACCATCTAGTTCCGTGGTAAGGTACGTGGCTTGTGTTATGGATACCAGATAGTTGATACACTTCACATATATAACTTTTAAATACATACATATATAAATATAAACACCCATGACTGGAGTACAAACATTTGTGCTCATCACACAAATGAATGCCTCAAGCGGAACTCAAACCCGCCACCGCTGGCGCAGCAAGTAGGGTAACTACAAACTGTGCCAAACGTGTCGTCTAATCATAATCTTCTTAAATATAAATGCAAAAGTTTGGATGGATGGTTGTTAGTTACTCAATCACTCCAGAACGGCTGAACAGATCTGGATGTTTGGCACAGAGATAGATTATAGTCTGGAATAGAACATAGGTTACTAGGGATGAACCCGAGCGAAGTGAAGGTGAAATGCTACTATTTCTCTCGAGTCCTTAGGAGTGGATCAATTACTTTTTACTATTATAGATATAATAATTAACCTACGAACGAAGCCGAGGACAAATATTAGTAACTTTATATAGTGGAACAAATTCATTACTGTGTACATAAGTATTGATAACAATACTTAAATTACTCGCAAATCTTTCACGGCTAATAAATATATAAAAAAATCTTTTCGATAGGAATCGTGTTGAAATATACGGAAATACCATCTAAGTTCACACAAACTGACCTCACGAAATCAAGATGCAACTACTATTAAGGTTTTCGTGACCCGCCATTTAAAATATACTTATACATATATTATAGTTTGCTTAGTTCACGTTTCGTGTGGAATGCAGTGAAAAACTTATAATAATGTAACGTTTTGTTACGTTGTAATTGTTTTATTCTATTATACTAGTTATTGTTGACTCGGCAAATTATTTACAAATAATAGTCAAAAACAAAAACAAATCTAAGCCACGGTAATCTTCGATTCCGAATTTTTAGCCTATTTGCTATTCCAGACTATAATCTATCACTGTGCCAAATTTCATCCAGATGCGTTCAGTCGTTCTAGTGTGATTGAGCACACAAACATCCATCCATCCAAACTTTCTCGTTTATATAGTAGTAAGATAAGGTGATGCAACAACCCTTTATTTACTATTAACTACATTTAACTATCAAACAAAAATAAAACGACATTAACTTATTTGCTAAATCGTGACAAATCACTACTTGCAAAAGATTTCGAAATCTTTACCGTCTATTATGTACGGACTCTTGACACTAATATGTCAAATACCATCTCGGTTTTCCTAAAAACGATTTTATTAACGATGTTGATCTGCTGTAACTAGATTTTGTAATAAACATCAGTTTCTAGTGAAATTTAATAATATATACCCTTAAACCTAACATACTATCCCCTTGTAATTTTTTTCGTAATTTGGATAACGGCTACATATCCAAACAAGCAACAGGCAAGCTGTATTTCCTTATAAAATCCATTTTTTCAATCAAGTTGTAATATTGTTTATATCTAAGTACACCAAAGTTTATGAAGCAAGCACACATTGACATTTCGAATTGATCGTCATATTTTTTAGTTCTACAACACTCCGTCTATATTATTCTTTTAGTATGAACCCTTGAGGTATAGCAAATTCATTCAAAAAAGTCATAAAGTCGTAAATATATCGCGTAACTTGAACACAAAAAATAACGCAAACCAAATTGAACGCAGGAGTTAATAGTATTTTTAAATCGGTAAAAATATACTCTATAATAAAAAAAAAAAATTATATGTAATCCGTTCAGAAACTTCATTGTGATATGTGACAAAAACATAGATTATTCACATCTATACTAATATTATAAAGAAGCAGAGTTTGTTTGATTATTTTTGTTTGTTTGTTTGAACGCGCTAATGTCAGGAACTACGAATCCAATTTAAAAAAAATGCAATTCCATACTAACCGTTAAAACGTACTTAGGGACGAGCTTGAGCGAAACGGGAGTGATTCGCTAATAATAAATGTAAATTTTATTTTATTAATACCATAAAACATTAGTTAATAGAATATTTCTTTATTTCCAGGGCCCCATGAAGCGGCTGTCATGCACATAGCGGCACTGATTGCACTCGTGCAGGTAACACAATTGTAATAGATAATATATTAAGTAATCTTTTAATATTAAATGAACAATTCTTGTATATATAAAAATTTATTTCGTGTATATCGGAAACAGCTCTAACGATTTGGATCAAATTACGTATTTTAATAAGGTTTTGCATTTTTAAGTTTATCTATAAAGGTGGTATTTTCTGAAATAACACTTTTTTTATAGCTCTTCTGAGAAACGCCGAGCAAAGCTCGTTCACCCACCTACTGTAATTTAATTAACTAATCAATCGAACTAAACGTTTTCGTTAAAAAGTTCATTGATTAATAATAATGCAATGATTTGGTCATCCACATGGTATGATTAGGACGTCAAATATGACCAGCTGACTAATGATATACTTCAAAATTTTGCAAGTATTATTGAATTAAGAGGGAGAGAATGTCGTTAATATATTAATTTGGTATCATCGAGCTACTCTGATGATGAAGCAAGGAGGAGAGTAGTGTTACATTTTAATATGTAGTTACTTCTATCAAGTTTGTATTTATTTGATTTCTTTTAACAATTCCACTCACTGAAATCGATCTGATAGAGTTTTAAATTTTGATTTTCATTTAAACTATTATTATTATTTTTACTAGCTAGAGAAGGTAATAGGATGTATCAAATATTATTAGTATAGGTATATCGATTTACGCCACTTGCAAAATCGAAGCTGTGATCGTAGATTTAATTCACTTAGAAAAACATATTCATGCCTCAATTATTCAAAGGATAAAATCAAAAAATAAATAAAAGGTCAATTTTATTAAAAAGCTATAGACGATGAGATATAATCGTCAATACATATTGTTTGCATAATGTAAATAAAATAAACAATAGATATCTAATTTGACGGAAGTCATCGTGGAAAGTAATATCATCAATCACTATTTGTTTAAGTTATATAAGATTGTGAACAATGATTTTAAAGGTCGATGATATATCAATTTATGTAAGACATTGTTGATAGATTGAATCTGTGCAATAAAATTAACACTATCTATAACCTATACATTTGTCAATACAATTCTTACGCAAACACCGTAGCTTATGGAATCCCATGATGTTGAGATGAATACAGTTGGCAAATCGATTACTAAATGACCATATAAATACAAATATGATTAGCATAACACCAATTTCTAAGATATGTTAAAATTATTACATATTGATAGTATATTATAAAAAAACTCTTGAATAGCAAGAGTTATATTCGTCGAATCTATACATATAATAAAATTCTGAGTCAAATCTGTACATTAAATATTTTTTAGGAAAATCTTATTGAAATAGTCATTATTATCAATGCAGAGGCCGAATCTATAGTTTTTAGAGTTTTTGTTTGTCTGTCTGTATGTGTGGGAACGCATCACGAGATAACCACTGGACAGATTTTGAAGAAATTTGTTATAATGATTTGGTTATCGGGGTCAACATATAAGATACTTTTTACTGCGGGAAAATATCTCATCTCAGAGAAATCTATACTAAACGTTAAAATATAACAAGGGATGAACCCAAGCGGAGCAAAGGTGAGTCGCTAGTCTTTATATATAATCGTTGGTGCGTTTGTAAATGATCATGTAACTTGTCAGCTACTTGACACATCAACTCGCCTTGAGCAATATTAGCATAACTATGAACCATCAACTCTATTGGGTTTTCTGATAGGTGGCATTGAAATAGCGGTAAGGTTATTAACAAATTCTTTGATCTATTTAGACAAAAATTAGTTATATTTACAATATGATATATATTTTCTCAAATGAGAGGCTGTTGTCCAATTAATAATAATTTTTCATTACGGAATACGTCTACTTCACCAACTGGCCAGTGATTAGATATTTCAATTTCTAAATCATCGAACTTAATATTGTATTTAAAAATAAGAATAGTCATAAACTGATTGTGCTAAATCAAAAATCGGAATGTGCTATAAAGTCCAAAACATAACTTTATTTCTGAAACAATATAACATTTATATTTCTCAACACTAAATGGGCTGTAATCAGGCGAAATAATGCGTGAGAGAGAAAAAAATCACATTGTACTCGACTCCAACAATAATCTTACAGATACTTCGATAACACTACCCGAGTTTACAGCAATAAATCTCATAACTATGGCAGTTTATTAGATACACGTGTAATTTTAATTTAGTAATGAAAATTAATTGCTAGTGCCTATAATTAAAACTGATAGAGTTATTTTAATGATATAATAACATGGTGCTGATGACGTATTCTAAAGTTGTAATAATATGCAGATTTTTGACATATTCAAAAATCTGCATATTATTACAACATTAGAATACGCCATCATCTGAAATCAGCTGTGATTTTATACCAGAAACAATATCAATTAAGAACTTTTAATTGAATTGAATGGAATAACTACCAATTTATTTTAATTAATTTATTACGAATTATTCAATGATTTCATCGGTAACAACAACAAAGGTAGAGATTTAAGCTTTTCATTGAGACTACACAAACTTTTAGGTTAAATACCGAATTCAATTAATTTGAGTAGCTACTTCAAATATATGTATATAATATAAATAATGTAAGACTTGTACTTTTACAATAATAATGTCTAGGCTAAATATTTATGTAGATTTTAAACTACGAGTATATACTCGTATGTATTAAGTTGTGTATATAATTTTCAAACTCGCTGTAGCTGTCGCTCGCTACAGCTGTTTCAGATGTGGGAACGCTCACAGCAGCTGAGCTTAACCTGCAGTTAGCGGGAGAGAACGGGCTGTCTCCGTTCTTCGAAGATAACGATGATACTGGGGTCAACTTCGTGAGGGGCTCCAGAGCCGTCGACTCACCTTACTCCCCGGACATTAATGTACAATGTTCCTCGGATTTCATTGAAGTTACAGTGGAATTTGCCGATATCTATGACGGTATTATATACAGCAAGGGTTTTTTGAAAGACCCCAAATGCAAGTAAGTGTCTTTATGTTTGAATCTGAATGGTGCAATCATTGATGAAATGACAGTTTTTTTACATTATAATTCAGTCACTCAATATGCTTTCAAAAGAAAGATCGATTAAAATATATGTATTATGTATTTTTCAGATATGTGACAGCTGGAGGAAGTCAGTCTCGTTACTCTTTCCGAGTACCGTTGAACGGATGCGGTAGCCGACCACTTTGCAATGCCTGCGGAACCATCGATAATGTTCTTGTATTCCAAACAGATGATTTAGTACAGGGACCCCACGATTTCGCAAGAAAGGTACGTACATGTTTTTTTTTTAATTTTTCACTTTTTAGACGTAAAAGAATCCTCGATCTGGACATTTTCTAGCTTTGCCGTAATAAAATATCAAAAAAACTCACGAGAGTATTTAATATACTTCGCCTCATGCATTAATCAATATACAAAACACTTAAACTACTTAAGAAAATGAAAGTTCTCGCGTCGGGTATATTTTTGTTGATATTGTACCTCTACCATAGGCCGACTTTTTAATTTGTCTTTCGCTCTAGAGTACATTACTGAAGACTTAACGTAGTAGTTATTTATATTCAACAGTCAGTCATTCAGTCTAAAACAATCTGTTTAGTACATTTAATAAAATAGAAATGTATAAAATAATATAAATAGAACGGCATTTAATGTTAAAATATGACTCCTTTAGTGAACCGATTAAAAAACTTGTAATGAATTGCCTGTATTTATTTTTACATTAATGAAAAAAAAATCCCCAAGGGAGTAATGATAACTCATAATAGAATTCAAATCCGGTATAACGTTTTATTTAAAAATGATATTTTCGGTAAGCAAACTCCTCCAACACAGTAATCAGTCCCATGTTATGTAAATACTAGTATGTATAAATGAATGCAAAGTAAGTCATTATATAATTATAAAATTATTCAATTTCAGGTATCATGTGCTGGCACTGCCTTACAAGTTTCCACAGGAGGAGTGAGACAAGAACAGTCACACACACTGAAGCTCAAACCATTCATGGTAGATATGCTTGACGTGGTTGCTGTAGAGGGACCCGCTGGTGGCGTCGAATGCTGGATGGATATTCAAAAAGGAATTTTCCCTAACGTATGTATTATTATTAAAGTAGTTTAAGCGTAATTTAAATATTTATTTTAATTTTACACCCACTTTAATACAAACTTTTTTCACAGACGTATCCTTTAGAAAGCTCTATTAAAATTGGAGAATATTTGACTATATTAATATACTTAAAAGATGTTAGAAAACAATTTAACCTCAAGATCCACGATTGCTGGGCATATGACAACGACGATTATGATAGCCCTCAGACGAATAAGATTCAATTAACTGACAAGGAAGGTTGTCCTAAGTGAGTATGATTTTTTTATTATATTATGCTAACTACATAAGTTGTTTAGTTTTCATACACTGAATATTCATAACTGTGAAACTAACACAGATTATACTCGTATAATACGAAGATCATTTTTTTTATTTACGATCAAACAATTGATTCAAATGAAAATTGATCATCAGGTTTATGTACAAAATTGGAATTAAATCGACAACAAATTATATTTACCTTCTAATAAATGTTTCATAACTTGTTCTGTAAAAAATAACATAATTACGAAATTTACAGGAAGAAAAAATTCATAGATGTATGGCAAAAATCTACAAATACAGGAAAGAGTGGCGCAACATTGATCGCTTACAGTAAAGTGAGCGCTTTCAGATTCCCAGAAACTGATCAAGTTTATCTAACTTGTAATGTAGAGGTGAGTTCGCATTCTTACGTTAAAATAGAGAAGTTATCTATTTTAAGTGTAGATGCCTAACTTTTTTTTTTTATTTCTATCATTTATCTTCTTCATTTCCATTGTCATTTTAATGATTCCTTTTTAATTCTTCTTTTAATCAATATTAGCTAAGTTTTATAAAAGTTAATACATGCGACAAACGATGGTTATACGAGAAATATCTTTGCTATCATTATATTTCATTAGAGCTTGTAGACCTATAAAAGAAAGACTAAAACATATTTACAATTATTCTTTAAATAAAACATTATTGTAATATTAGTCATATAAATTCTACTAATTTAATTAAAAATATACTATTTTTAGCTCAGAAACATAAAATAAGTTACTTTCTAACTTTCAATTACAATACATATATTTTACTTCTAGCTGTGTACGAGCGGCTGTGATGCAGACTGTACTGGAATAATAACAGAAATATCAACAAGTAGAATAGAAGAACCTTGCTATCCAGGATCAACCGATTCTCGTTGTACTAAAGTTACAACTCCATCCGTTATAAGATGCTACCCAGGTAGCGACGATCCTCGATGCCCTAAACCAACGACCGGCAAACCAAATTGTTATAATGGGAGCACAGATCCTAGGTGCCCTAAGCCGACAACGTCTTCCTTGCCAAGATGCTATCCTGGTAGTACTGATATTCGCTGTCCTAAGCCAACAACCCCCTCACAACCGGAAGAAAAATGTTATCCTGGATCACCGGATCCCAATTGTCCTCAACCATCGAGACCTACGACACTTAATCCACCAACATATTTGCCTCCAACGACTTCAGAGCCTAAGTGTTACCCAGGTTCGACTGACTCTAGATGTCCTAAACCCACAACACCTGCACCACCAAACTGTTATCCCGGAAACAATGATCCTCGTTGTCCTCGGCCAACTACTCCAGCTCCACCCAATTGTTTCCCAGGCAGCTCAGACCCTCGTTGTCCGAAGCCTACTACACCTGCTCCTCCTAGGTGTTATCCAGGCAGTAGCGATCCAAGATGCCCTAAGCCTACAACACCTGAACCACCTAATTGTTTCCCCAGCAGCAATGATCCTCGTTGTCCCAAGCCAACTACACCTGCACCTCCTAGATGTTATCCTGGAAGTAGCGATCCAAGATGTCCAAAGCCTACAACACCTGCACCACCAAATTGTTTCCCCGGCAGCAACGACCCGCGTTGCCCTAAGCCAACTACACCTGCTCCCCCTAGATGCTATCCTGGAAGTAGTGATCCAAGATGTCCTAAGCCTACAACACCTGCTCCACCAAATTGTTTCCCCGGCAGCAACGATCCTCGTTGCCCTCGGCCAACTACACCAGCTCCACCCAATTGTTTCCCAGGAAGCTCAGATCCTCGTTGTCCCAAGCCAACAACACCTGCTCCTCCTAGATGTTATCCAGGAAGTAGCGATCCAAGATGTCCAAAGCCTACAACACCCGCTCCACCTAATTGCTTCCCAGGTAGCTCAGATCCACGTTGTCCGAAACCAACAACTCCAGAGACTCCAAAATGTTACCCTGGCAGCACTGACTTACGTTGTCCTAGGCCAACAACACCCGCACCGACAAAACCTGTATGTTATCCTGGTTCACCGGATCCCAATTGTCCTCAACCATCGAGACCTACGACACTAAATCCACCAACATACTTGCCTCCAACAACTTCAGAGCCTGAGTGTTACCCAGGTTCGACAGACTCTAGGTGCCCTCAACCCACAACACCTGAACCACCAAATTGTTTCCCTGGAAACAACGATCCTCGTTGTCCTCGGCCAACTACTCCAGCTCCACCCAATTGTTTCCCAGGCAACTCAGACCCTCGTTGTCCAAAGCCTACTACACCTGCTCCTCCTAGATGTTATCCAGGCAGTAGCGATCCAAGATGTCCTAAGCCTACAACACCTGAACCACCAAATTGTTTCCCCGGCAGCAACGATCCTCGCTGTCCCAAGCCAACTACACCTGCACCTCCCAGATGTTATCCTGGAAGTAGTGATCCAAGATGTCCTAAGCCAACGACACCTGCGCCACCAAATTGTTTCCTCGGTAGCAGTGATCCTCGTTGTCCCAAGCCAACTACACCTGCTCCTCCTAGATGTTATCCAGGCAGTAGCGATCCAAGATGTCCAAAGCCTACAACACCTGCACCACCAAATTGTTTCCCCGGCAGCAATGACGCTCGTTGTCCAAAGCCAACAACACCTGCTCCTCCTAGATGTTATCCAGGAAGTAGCGATCCAAGATGTCCAAAGCCTTCAACACCCGCTCCACCAAATTGCTTCCCAGGTAGCTCAGACCCACGTTGTCCGAAACCAATAACTCCAGAGACTCCAAAATGTTACCCTGGCAGCACTGACTTACGTTGTCCTAGGCCAACAACACCCGCACCGACAAAACCTGTATGTTACCCTGGTTCACCGGATCCCAGTTGTCCTCAACCATCGAGACCTACGACACTAAATCCACCAACATATTTGCCTCCAACGACTTCAGAACCTAAGTGTTACCCAGGGTCGACAGACTCTAGGTGTCCTAAGCCCACAACACCTGCACCACCAAATTGTTTCCCTGGAAGCAACGATCCTCGTTGCCCTCGGCCAACTACTCCAGCTCCGCCTAATTGTTTCCTAGGTAGCTCAGACCCTCGTTGTCCCAAGCCAACTACTCCTGCACCTCCTAGATGCTATCCTGGAAGTAGCGATCCAAGATGTCCAAAGCCTACGACACCTGAACCACCTAATTGTTTCCCCGGCAGCAATGATCCTCGTTGTCCCAAGCCAACTACACCTGCACCTCCTAGATGCTATCCTGGAAGTAGCGATCCAAGATGTCCAAAGCCTACAACGCCTGCACCACCAACTTGTTTCTCCGGCAGCAATGACCCGCGATGCCCTAAGCCAACTACACCTGCTCCCCCTAGGTGTTATCCCGGAAGTAGCGATCCAAGATGTCCAAAACCTACAACACCTGCACCACCAAATTGTTTCCCCGGCAGCAATGACGCTCGTTGTCCCAAGCCAACGACACCTGCTCCTCCCAGATGTTATCCTGGAAGTAGCGATCCAAGATGTCCAAAACCTACAACACCTGCACCACCAAATTGTTTCCCCGGCAGCAATGACGCTCGTTGTCCCAAGCCAACGACACCTGCTCCTCCCAGATGTTATCCAGGAAGTAGCGATCCAAGATGTCCAAAACCTACAACACCCGCCCCACCTAATTGCTTCCCAGGTAGCTCAGATCCACGTTGTCCGAAACCAACAACTCCAGAGACTCCAAACTGTTACCCTGGCAGCACTGACTTACGTTGTCCTAGGCCAACAAAACCGGCACCGACAAAACCTGTATGCTACCCTGGTTCACCGGATCCCAATTGTCCTCAACCATCGAGACCTACGACACTAAATCCACCAACATATTTGCCTCCAACGACTTCAGAACCTAAGTGTTACCCAGGTTCAACAGACTCTAGATGTCCTAAACCCACACCACCTACACCACCAAACTGTTATCCCGGAAGCAATGATCCTCGTTGTCCTCAGCCAACTACTCCAGCTCCACCCAACTGTTTCCCAGGTAGCTCAGACCCTCATTGTCCCAAGCCAACTACACCTGCACCTCCTAGATGTTATCCTGGAAGTAGCGATCCAAGATGTCCAAAGCCTACAACACCTGCACCACCAAATTGTTTCTTCGGCAGCAACGACCCTCGTTGCCCTAAGCCAACTACACCTGCTCCCCCTAGATGCTATCCTGGAAGTAGTGATCCAAGATGTCCTAAGCCTACAACACCTGCTCCCCCTAGATGCTATCCTGGAAGTAGTGATCCAAGATGTCCTAAGCCTACAACACCTGCTCCACCAAATTGTTTCCCCGGCAGCAACGATCCTCGTTGCCCTCGGCCAACAACACCAGCTCCACCCAATTGTTTCCCAGGTAGCTCAGATCCTCGTTGTCCCAAGCCAACAACACCTGCTCCTCCTAGATGTTATCCAGGGAGTAGCGATCCAAGATGTCCAAAGCCTACAACACCCACTCCAACAAAACCTGTATGTTACCCCGGTTCACCAGATCCCAATTGTCCTCAACCATCGAGACCTACGACACTAAATCCACCAACATATTTGCCTCCAACGACTTCAGAACCTAAGTGTTACCCAGGTTCAACAGACTCTAGATGTCCTAAACCCACACCACCTACACCACCAAACTGTTATCCCGGAAGCAATGATCCTCGTTGTCCTCGGCCAACTACTCCAGCTCCACCCAACTGTTTCCCAGGTAGCTCAGACCCTCGTTGTCCCAAGCCAACTACACCTGCACCTCCTAGATGTTATCCTGGAAGTAGCGATCTAAGATGTCCAAAGCCTACAACACCTGCACCACCAAATTGTTTCTTCGGCAGCAACGACCCTCGTTGCCCTAAGCCAACTACACCTGCTCCCCCTAGATGCTATCCTGGAAGTAGTGATCCAAGATGTCCTAAGCCTACAACACCTGCTCCCCCTAGATGCTATCCTGGAAGTAGTGATCCAAGATGTCCTAAGCCTACAACACCTGCTCCACCAAATTGTTTCCCCGGCAGCAACGATCCTCGTTGCCCTCGGCCAACAACACCAGCTCCACCCAATTGTTTCCCAGGTAGCTCAGATCCTCGTTGTCCCAAGCCAACAACACCTGCTCCTCCTAGATGTTATCCAGGGAGTAGCGATCCAAGATGTCCAAAGCCTACAACACCCACTCCAACAAAACCTGTATGTTACCCCGGTTCACCAGATCCCAATTGTCCTCAACCATCGAGACCTACGACACTAAATCCACCAACATATTTGCCTCCAACGACTTCAGAACCTAAGTGTTACCCAGGTTCAAAAGACTCTAGATGTCCTAAACCCACACCACCTACACCACCAAACTGTTATCCCGGAAGCAATGATCCTCGTTGTCCTCGGCCAACTACTCCAGCTCCACCCAACTGTTTCCCAGGTAGCTCAGACCCTCGTTGTCCCAAGCCAACTACACCTGCACCTCCTAGATGTTATCCTGGAAGTAGCGATCCAAGATGTCCAAAGCCTACAACACCTGCACCACCAAATTGTTTCTTCGGCAGCAACGACCCTCGTTGCCCTAAGCCAACTACACCTGCTCCCCCTAGATGCTATCCTGGAAGTAGTGATTCAAGATGTCCTAAGCCTACAACACCTGCTCCACCAAATTGTTTCCCCGGTAGCAACGATCCTCGTTGCCCTCGGACAACTACACCAGCTCCACCCAATTGTTTCCCAGGAAGCTCAGATCCTCGTTGTCCCAAGCCAACCACACCTGCTCCTCCTAGATGTTATCCAGGAAGTAGTGATCCAAGATGTCCAAAACCTACAACACCCGCTCCACCTAATTGCTTCCCAGGTAGCTCAGATCCACGTTGTCCGAAACCAACAACTCCAGAGACTCCAAAATGTTACCCTGGCAGCACTGACTTACGTTGTCCTAGGCCAACATCACCCGCACCGACAAAACCTGTATGCTACCCTGGTTCACCGGATCCCAATTGTCCTCAACCATCGAGACCTACGACACTAAATCCACCAACATATTTGCCTCCAACGACTTCAGAGCCTAAGTGTTACCTAGGTTCGACTGACTCTAGATGTCCTAAACCCACAACACCTGCACCACCAAACTGTTATCCCGGAAGCAATGATCCTCGTTGTCCTCGGCCAACTACTCCAGCTCCACCCAATTGTTTCCCAGGCAGCTCAGACCCTCGTTGTCCGAAGCCTACTACACCTGCTCCTCCTAGATGTTATCCTGGAAGTAACGATCCAAGATGTCCAAAGCCTACAACACCTGCACCACTAAATTGTTTCCCCGGTAGCAACGACCCTCGTTGCCCTAAGCCAACTACACCTGCTCCCCCTAGATGCTATCCTGGAAGTAGTGATCCAAGATGTCCTAAGCCTACAACACCTGCTCCACCAAATTGTTTCCCCGGCAGCAACGATCCTCGTTGCCCTCGGCCAACTACTCCAGCTCCCCCCAATTGTTTCCCAGGCAGCTCAGATCCTCGTTGTCCCAAGCCAACCACACCTGCTCCTCCTAGATGTTATCCAGGAAGTAGTGATCCAAGATGTCCAAAACCTACAACACCCGCTTTACCTAATTGCTTCCCAGGTAGCTCAGATCCACGTTGTCCGAAACCAACAACTCCAGAGACTCAAAAATGTTACCCTGGCAGCACTGACTTACGTTGTCCTAGGCCAACAACACCCGCACCGACAAAACCTGTATGCTACCCTGGTTCACCAGACCCCAATTGTCCTCAGCCATCGAGACCTACGACATTAAATCCACCAACATATTTACCTCCAACGACGTCGAAACCTAACTGTTTCCCAGGTTCTACAGATTTACGTTGCCCTAAGCCTACTACACCTGAACCTCTACGATGCTATCCTGGTAGCAATGATCCTCGTTGCCCTAAACCTACCACGCCTGAACCTCCACGATGCTATCCTGGTAGCAATGATCCTCGTTGCCCTAAACCTACTACGCCTGAACCTCCACGATGCTATCCCGGCAACAATGATCCTCGTTGTCCTAAGCCTACCACGCCTGAACCTCCACGATGCTATCCTGGTAGCAATGATCCTCGTTGCCCTAAACCTACCACGCCTGAACCTCCACGATGCTATCCTGGTAGCAATGATCCTAGTTGCCCTAAACCTACTACGCCTGAACCTCCACGATGCTATTCCGGCAGCAATGATCCTCGTTGCCCGAAACCTACCACGCCGGAACCTCCACGATGCTATCCTGGTAGCAATGATCCTCGTTGCCCTAAACCTACTACGCCTGAACCTCCACGATGCTATCCCGGCAGCAATGATCCTCGTTGCCCTAAACCTACTTCGCCTGAACCTCCACGATGCTATCCCGGCAGTAATGATCCTCGTTGCCCTAAACCTACTTCGCCTGAACCTCCACGATGCTATCCCGGCAGTAATGATCCTCGTTGCCCTAAACCTACTACGACTGAACCTCCGCGATGCTATCCCGGTAGTAATGACCCTCGTTGCCCTAAGCCTACAACAACTGAAACAAGTCCCACACCCAGTTCGTGCTATCCTGGTTCCAAAGACCCTAAATGTCCTCAGCCATTTGCTCCAAGTAGTACTAATCCCCCAACAACATACCTACCACCCTTCCCTTCTGAAAATGAAATAAAATCTAACCGCGTCAATAGATTAGCAGATAAAAATGTAGATTATTACGATGACGCTCTCCCCGAAATAGGTAAGGAAAAAACATTTCGTCAATAGATAGAAATATTTGGGTTTTGAAATATTCTTTTTTAATCTGTAATTCTTCATTTTCAGATAATTTTGAGTTCTCCCGCACTCAGCCGCGATCGAGAAAAGCCAGAGGTTTAAGTAATTCTGCCGATGAATTTTCTAAAATTACAGAATATTTAGGATCCGAATATATGGCACTAATGGGATCAGTTATGTTTGTAATATTATCTGTAGCTATTGCTTTGATGATAATCAGATATAAGAAAAACCTTAAGTTAAGACAAGACTCGAAAAATAATGTAAATACTCATCCTTGCTAGATTAAAATTGATGTGTGATATGATTATAATTCTTCTCGCTTTTAATATTTTCTATTTTATTTTTATTGTATATTTGTATTTTGTACTAAAAGTGAATACCTGAAGTATTCAACTTTATATGTAATTGAAATATCACTGCTTTTTAAACTTTAGAAAGTGGCATTAAATCGATGCCGGTATGGTTCTTATATAGTGCCATAAGATGATGTACCAGTCAGCTATATATGAAGCTGTTTACTGCCGTTTATGTTTATTACCTAAATTCCTAGTCAAAATATATAAAAATGAATATTTTATATATTTTACTATACTGCTAATATGTGATATTTGTACATATATAACAATATTGTATCGTGGCCATCCGAATTTAGTTAAGTTTATTCATTTTATATGTTGGAGCTAATCTTGCTTTCTGTATTGTGTTAAGAATAGTGCGAGAATAATCTTTGAAAATATCTTAAAATTATTATTTACTTCTCACAATGCAGATTGAAAGAAGTATAACGAAAAATTAATGTTAGTACGATTGCTTAATGCGTCAATGTAAGTAAAACATTCTATGAATGTGATTATGTGTTTTATTTAACCCAAATAATATTACAATGTAAAAAAAAAAACTTTTTATATTATCATTTCATTGGTCCAAAAAAATAAGCAAAAAATAGTAAAGATGATGAATTTAATCTGAAAAAAAATTAAGTTGAAAAATATCCATTTCTGTCCATATCCATTATTATGCCAGTTATATATGAAGGGGTTATGTAAAGAATATTGAACAAAACTACATATAAATTGAATACCAATTACACAATCTATACATAAAATACCAAAATCTGTTATTAAAAAATTACAAAAAAAGGTTTCTTTGTTTCTCTGTATGTCTGTTTGTGTGTGCGCGTTGTACGCCAAAAGTACTGAACCGATTTTAACTATATTTTGTGTAGTGATAACTTATTACTCGGAACATTATTTAGGATACCTTTACTAGGGAAAAACATTTTATCCCCACGGGAAAACACAATAACTGGTTCTTCGAGTCGTCTTTAGTTTATATGGCTAACGCTTGCTAAACCTTAAGAGATACATCAAAACAATTTACTAGAAAATTGTAGGTCTTAAAAAGGCCTACAGAAAAGTCCACAATAGTATATATCTATCTCCTAAGGTACACTCGCAATATTTAACTATCTCTATTTCAAATTTACCTAAGGACACACCCGAGCGATGTGCGGGTAAGTCGCTAGTAGAATGAATAAAATCCCATAGAATGGGCCGCTCACGTAGTATCTGTGCCGATTGAAAGAAAAACTTAGCCATGTACTTCTATTTGTATTCCAACGATTACATTTAAAAAAAAATTATGCATTCCAACTACTTTGGATCTAGCATATACTGATAATATTACATAGCTTGTACCTTCTCCAATAAACAGGAAAATTATCGTAAAAAGAACTTGTCAAACAAAGAAAAAACAAAAAGTCCTTTGGAGTTTCCATAATATAATAACCTCCCGGCCGACTTCGGCCACGGCAGCCATTCGCATTAAGTTTAAAACTAGCCATCTGCGCAGGAAATTTTAGGCACGGGGGTGAATCACCGCCATCTTCCCAACTCCGAGCTATTACTGGAGCTTACTAAACAGAAAGACTCAATAACTAAACTTGGCCCGAGCCGGGACTCGAACTCAGGACCTCCAGATGTACAGCCGTACATGCTAGCCAATACACAACCAAAGCTGCCAATAAAATAATTAAAGATTATCGTTATCTAGGGAACAGAAGTCTAGAGAAAATAATTATTTAGTCTTGGATATTAGTATGACTCCAAAGGAGGTGTACCTACTACTTTCAAGCCTCATACACAGATCACCTAATACTATAAGTACCTCGTACTTTACCATGGACCTAGATGGTGTGTGGTAATTTCCCAACAAATATGCTACTGCCACGTTCACATTATACCTAATACCTATTTAAATAAGCGCGGGCAGCCGGCCAACCAGTGGACCGCTGAATTGTGTGTCGGCAGTATTGGATTATAACAAAGGTGATTTATCTTATAAAAGGTTTTAAGAGTGAGAAAAAAGAATATTGGGATACCAGTAAATAAATAAACTTGAATTTCTATAAAAAACCATTTATTTATTTCGCATAAAAAATACATTACATCAATTTTAGTAAAATAATACATGTTTCATATTATATTAAAATTTGAGCATAACTTTACATGTCGATTTGCCTAATAATTCACACTACTTTCATCGATCAATCAATTTAATTCGTAAAGGACCGTGAGGCGTGTACATTGGATGAACGTGGTATTCCAATGGCTCATGATGATACTCCATTTTAAAAGCTTGCACCATCTGTAAATGTAAAGGATTTTTGAAATTCCCTGTTCTTTAAACCTTAATAAAATAATGAAAACATCATCTGTCTATTATAATTTTTATTTTATAATTTTATTTATTATTAAATAGTTAAATCACTACCTCGAAGAATTGCTTTAATATTTTTCCAGGCGCGGATATTGTGGATAGTTACACTTTTGTGTTGGTAAAACATATTAATTATTAAGTAATTTATTACGATCGATATTTTGCTTTAATAATATATAGTAAACTTTACTTTAACGAGTTGAGTGAATTTATGCTTACTTTAACAAATTGTGTTAGGTACTATAATTTATATTATAGTAATTTTAGAATAGTGATTCATTATAATTTTTATGCATATTTAATATTTTAACCGCCATACACTTTGGAACTTCAAGCTTCCAATGAAAAATATATTTATTATTATCATAAAGGTATTTTAAATTTAATCTCTTACCTTACAAATCATTATATGTATCTCAAGTTCAGCAAATCTACGCCCCAAGCACATTCGTTTGCCGAAACCAAAGGGTAAAGATGCGAAAGGATGATGTTTGTACATAGTCCGTTGTAACCAGCGCTCAGGGAGAAATTTCGATGCATTTGTGAAATATTCCTCGCTGTTACCCATAACGTAATGTTGGAATATTACTTGTGTCTAAAAATAATTAGGACAATTGAAAGAAAGTCAAAATTGAAAAACATGTATTGTGTTTAATATTTATTACGTTAAATATATTAATTACGATAAATATTTTTAAATACGTACGTACATATATGTGTAGGATGTAGGCGTTATATTTTTTCTAATAAAATGTACAAGTAAATGAATAAAATAAATAAAATACTCTTTATTGTGCACCATTATCCACATACAAAACAAAGAATATAATATAAAAAATGACAAAATAGGCGGGCTTACCGCGTCGGTGGCAATATCAGCGAAAAGTAAAACTGTCTGTCTGTGTTACCTTTTGCTTAAGCCGCAGAACAGATTTCGATGTAATTTGGTAATGGCATAGATTGCATCTTGGAGACGGACATAGATCAGTTCTTATACCCGCTAATAGAGAAAATGTCTTTAATTGATATAAAATGTTATTAAACATACTTAAAAGTAAAAGAATACATTATAATCATACATATGTATGTATAACCAGTTTACTTACTCCTTTAGGAATATTGTATCCACAAATAACAGTGTCTTTAGTCAATTGTCGGCCATTTCCAATCACTACGGGATACATTCTAAAAATGTATAAAATAAAAATAAAACTTAAGTATTATATTTTTATTTCAAACAAACAGGACAAAATAGGTAGGTAGACAGTAAGAAAAAAAAATTAAACCAAATAAAACAATAAAATATAAATCTATAATAATTACCTCATTACTTCTTTAACACATGCTTTTAAATAGGGCATTTGGTTGACATCTCCTGGTTTTAAAGGTCGACCTTGCAGCACATTAGATATTTCATCATACAGCCTTTCTTGAACTTCAGGTCTTCGTGACAGCTGATATAGTGTAGATGCGACTGCATTAGACGTCTGAAAATGTAAATAAAAAAACGTGTGTGTGTACTTATGTACGCACGTAAGAAGTTGTACTTCTTTGGCGTAACAAAACAAAAATAACTAAAGATTTCATCGCGTATGTCACAACTCTCTGTTCGTAAAAGGAATGCAACTAACTTCATCATGTCGGTTTTTGGCTGTCGGTGTGCCCAAGCATCGTAAAAATTTTACTCTCATCTTTTTTTCAAAACGCACCAAAAGAAGTATGTGTAACTTCAGTAATAGTTTAAAAGCCTTTGGGTGAATTCGTGTATCGTTTTACGATGTAGGTGTGTCGCTAGTATACAATAAGTTATTAGCTATTGTGTATTATATACAATACATATATTCATGAAGCTTACACACTAAAGTCACTACATATCGTGACCGCCTTACTTACCAAATATCGTAAAATATAATGTGCAAATCGTTTTCTTTATACTTTAAAAAAATATTTATGTATAGTAAATACTTGCATAAAACAAAAATTACTTTATATATTCTTTTTATAGGAAACATTAATAGTTAAATATGTATGTATATGTAATGTCACTTTTTAGCTATAATTATTAAAATTTTAAGCTAACCCCTAAACATTTAACTGCTATATATATTGTTATTTCCAATACTTAATTTGTTTCCTTTTGATCTACAGAAGTTCAATGTTAAACAATCCTTTCTTAATAAAAAGGTAAGAATATGATAGAAATAATATATATAAAATAAAATAAACAAAACTTTATGCAATAATCAATCCTGTAATTTGTCCTGGACGATGATAACTTACCAGAACAAGCAACATTGTATCATATATATTAGTTAATAAATGTGATTTTACCGTATCAATGCCAACAAGGAACATGTCGAGAGCTGCTATAGCGGCTACTCTAGAGCCAGCGGCCGTTACCAAATCTTGTAAAAGAGATTTACTGCTTCCCTGTGCTTGACATTCTTGCAACGCTTTTTCCACATGTGTTAGGGTAATGCTGTAAACAATGTTCGTTTAATAAGAACTAGCGACTTACCCTTGCTTCGCTCGGGTGCGTTTTACTCTTTTAAACACTTGGTTTTATCAATAATTAAGTACAAACCTCAGTATAGTATCGAGAGCGGCAACATATTTTTTAAACATCGCAGTAGGATATATTCTCCACCATGGGGCTCGGAGTTCCAATTCTCCTACACATAGAAAAAATGTATGTACAGCATCTATGAGACGTTGACTTTCTGAGCCCTCGCAAGAATCGAAGCAACCCAACCGCGTGTCTAACGCTATTAATCCTAATGCTGGAAAACAAAAAATATTGTTCAAATTTGCATTGAAAAAATAATTTGCAGGGATAAAAATTTTATTTTTAGATAAAATTATGTCATTTAGTTTAAATTTAAAATGTAAGATTGACGACTCAAAACACACAGGCCGAATTTATAGTTTTAGAATTTTTGTCTGTCTGTCTGGGAACGCATCAAGAGAAAAGCACTGGATATATCTGATGAAATTTGGTATGATAATAGCTCATCAGTAAACATTTAGAATACTTTTTACTGCGGGAAAATATCTCATGTCAGAGAAATCTATACTAACTCTAAAAAAAACCTACATATATACATACATCTCAACGTGTATTATGTTATAAAGAATTATATATCTTTAACTTTGGTTATCGTTTTTTTAATAGAATTAATCTAACTTACATTCCAAAGACCACTTGTGAACTTCATTCAAGAAATCATTAGGTGTTTCAGATTGTTCATTTCTTATTTTCCGTATCCTGTAACATAAAAGTCACAATATTAATTATGATATGTAATGCAATATTTATAAAAGTATACTAGACTTTTTTGATATTTTTAGCTTTTTTACACATTAAAATTATTTTATAAAGCAAATAAAATAAAAAGTAGGTATTTGCCGAAAGCTTTAATTATGAGAATAGGTACGCGTAAATATTTCAGTGATCTTCTAAATCTAGCAATATACTTACCAGCGGAGGCAGTATGCGATCCCACACAACGTATGTTGACACAATTTGACTTAAAAGGGAGTTCTTTTTCATCATATCTTTCTTTGTTATGGGATAAATTTTCATAATTTGCCCCATGAAAAGATGAAAATAGGTATAAACATTTAAAATACGGGTACTTTACCTATTAATAAATCCATCGGCTACTTCCCCTACTTGATCTGTATACTGAGCGGCGGCTCCAGTACTGAGAGCTACTCGAGATACTTTTGTTCTAAACGCCGCCCATGAGTCACCATGACTGTGAGAGATAATGACAGTGTAAATTAAAGTAGTAATTCGATAAAACAAGTAAATCTTTTCTGTTAAAAATAATTTCTTAGTAGCAAATAGCAGTTCGGAGTACATACTCGACTATGTTACACTCCGTGTTCGATAACATAAAGTAATAAAAGAAAACAAACGGTCAAGTGTGAGTCGAATTCGCACACAAAGAGTTTCATACCATCGTGCATGTACTTTTTATTAATATGAGTTTTACTCTATATACGTAGTATATTTAATTTTGATGATTGATTACTAACGTAAAATTTTTTTTTTTGTATTTTTCCTTTTTTCTTTTTATTTGTTGTTATAGCGGCAATAGAAATACATACTTTGTGAAAATTTCAACTCTCTACCTATTACGGTTCATGAGATATAGCCTTCTGACAGACGGACGGACGGACAACGGAGGCTTAGTAATAGGGTTCCGTTGGCATCCTTTGGGTACGGAACCCTAAAAAAGAATAAAAAATAGAGAATGTACTATTTCCTCTACGCTACGTGGCTAGTGTAGTAGTAGTGTAATCTTAGTGAGTTTGCTCAATATGATCGAATTAAAAAAGTACTTAATTATAGATAACTTGATACGATGATAAGCGTTTTTTACTAAGCTAAAAATGATTTAAAGCTCAATTATACATATTATACTTACACTGCAATTACTCCAGCACAGTTTTCCTCTGCACCAAAAAAGTCTTTTCTCAATGTGTGTTTATAATAATTTAAAGATGGCATCGACGGCCTAAAATAATAATATACTATCATATCAATAGTTTAAGTACTTCATATTAGAAATTTGAAATTAATAAGGTATATACCGATGCGGAGCGCTGTCTTCTCCTCGAAAGACTCTCTCGACTTCACTTGCATCAAACACAAACAGCATATCTGGTCTACCTAATAGACCGGCCATTTTGACACACTTGCCATATTGTTTCCTTAACGATAAGCACACTTTGTCCACGTGTTCTACAGAATAACCACCTGTAACAAAACGAAATCATATTATTTTACATATTTGATATTAGTTAATTTTTTAATCTGCCTAACAATCATCCTTATTAAAAATGCAAAGGTTTGTATAGGTTTGTATAAATATGTATTTATATATATGAAAGGGCTTGGCGGGTTTGGGTAAAATTAGAACACTGATAAATCTGTTAGTAAAAAAATTGTCATAAGGTGGCACTGCCTCTGTATAATGTCCCAAAAATCCCCCAAAGTATACTTATATTGTTTCTTTATTTATAGCAGCACACTTTACTTTATAATTGTGCAAAATATAAATATAAATAAATAATTCCTGATTTGTATTTCATACTAGCCACTAGCTTCGCTTCGGGTTCGTCCCTAGACAAAAACAAACCTATCCCACGGGAACCATACATTTTTTCGAGATAAAAAGTCACCTATGTGCTATTCCAGACTATGATCTCTCTCTTGCCTTTCGTCCAGATCCGTTCAGCCGTACTGGCCTGAAACAGTCATAAACATCCATCCATCCATCCTCACAAACTTTCACATTTATAATATTACGTATGGATTAGAATGGATTCTAGTCACAAATCTATGTATGACTCGGCTATATGAGTGCTATGAGATGTAGATACACGAGCAGTTCTACAAATAATTCCGTATATAGACGAGTACATATAATTTAAAATCCAATAGGTTCGAATAGGAATAGGAATCGAAATAGGCAGTATTGAGGCTACACTTTAAGTTATTAGTAAATAACACACATCCAGACAGAATAAAGTTAATATATTATTGAATGGACTATACCTTATCTTCCGCCACTCGCGCTCTCTAGTCATGATGCAAGTGAGAGTTTAATAGCATTTTATACTTATTGGTAATAAATATGATCTAATAATAACAGTTAAAATTTAAGAAATAACGGAGAATGTAGCCGGAACAAGCGGCTAGTTACATCAGATCAGAACAACACTTTGTAAAGTATATGATTATTTGTACACTGTTTTAAAGAGATATAGTTGGTATGTTTGTAAGACATTTTATTCTCGGCAGTTATTGATTCGAAACACCGAACCGATTCAAAGATTTATTTAGCTTATATGCATAGAACAGTATCCCTAATTTAAATAAAACTATATTTTCGGATTTTTTCGCAGATTTATTTTGATTTTTGGTTCCCAACGTTTGGAATGCTTTACACCAATGATGGTTACGGGAGAGACTGATCTCTCGTAATAGTTTTATTTAAAATGTCAAATATTCGCGTAAATCTAAGAAAGTAAGATGTGCAATTTTTTGTTTACATATTATGCGAACGCGTATGAAAATCAATTCGTGATATGTAAAATTAATATTAAAAAAAATTAAAATCTACGCCGTAATTGGGTACATATGTTGTCATTTTAATTTATATATTTCTAACACAAACGAAGTCAAAGGCGATAACTATGTTTTAATAAGTGAAAATATATTTTAACATTAAATAAAGTAATAAAATGCATCTGTAACGAAAACAAATATCTTGTAACTACATATGTATGTATGTAGTTATTATAGTGAATGTCGAGTATTGCACGCTCTCAACCGTTACATTGCGTAAAACAGGAAACGGCTGTACCCTTTATTAGCTTCATTTTGTATTACCTAGTGTCCGGGACTTATACATAAATATTAAATACATATAAATAATATGTTGGGACATTACCACACAGCACCATCTAGTTCCATGGTAAGCTAGAGGCTCGTGTTATACCAGATAAACTACATATTATATATTATAATTCAGATCTAGCAAAACCTCACTCAATCTCACGCGGGGGAGGGAGTAATCTCGGCAAATATCATGTAATTTTCTTCCCGCAAGAAACAATGTAAAATTGCAAGAAAACTAGGTTAATTTAAGTAAAAATTGTTGATCGAAAAATCGCCAAAATTGTCTCACGTAATTAATGGATGCCCCCTAATACACAGTATCATATTATTTAAAAATGTCATTCCAACTTTTTAAACCCCTACGTAATAGGTGTTATAAGATTGCTATAATTCATTCGAATGGACTGATTCTTGGCCTGATTCTGCAGCGTCACCTGGAATCTGCAAGATGTTCATTTCTTTACTACAATCATACTGCAAAGATATATATGTTTCTACATAATAATATTATATATCTGTATTTTTTAATATCATAAATGTGAAAGTTTGTGAGATATATGGATGTTTGATAGATTTGTTTTTTTTTCTAGAGGCGAACCGGATCGAAGCGATTCTGAGCCGCTAATATAATATAATACTTCATAAACTTACTGTGGAAATTGATTTCTTCTTTAAAATATCTATGAAACTTGACTCCACACCAGTGTCCAAAAGCATCAATTACATCAGAAGCGGCTACTTCGAAAAAATTTAAATAGGCGCGGGTACCTCATGGCAGCTTATATAGAAATATGTACGAACCCTTTTATTTTTAATTTCCAATTGATTTAAAACGTCCTACCATATGATGATGCTCAAACTCCAGCCTTGTCCTAATTCCCATATTTCGTAATAGTTCGTCATTATTATGAAAGTTTGGGAACAATTTGTATGCGAGACCACAATAACACTAAAGAATTGCGATGAGCGTGCCGACATCATTAACTGTAACAATGTAGCTATTAAATAGCGATTTGAAGAATTTATGAGAATCGTATTCTACAAATAGAATACAACCAAATACCTTCAACTTTTAAAATTCCTTCTTTCTAAAAAGAAGGTATTTTTATTATTTTCTTGTAATATTATTAGTCATTTGCAGCTGTGTAAAACGATTTTTCCGTTGTACGTTAGCCTATAAAATATACATATTATGAATTCTATTTTTCGTTTTCTATATTTTATAAAGTATATGTCTTCTACTGAAATCGAACCCGCTACAACTGGTGCTTAAGTTGTAAACAGATCATGTGAATAATTTAAATAAAAATAATCTTTAGAACGATGGTTTTTTTATTACCCTATGTTAATCTGTAAATCATTTTTTTCTGCCTATCAATTACTTAATACACAATTAAAAAGTTATTCTTTAATGCATACCAACTTATTCTTAACTTTGTATATTCTACAATAAAGATTTATATATTCGTAATGTTTGAAAAAAAGCTTCGATCAAGCTTTAAGCTATTATTATAATATAGCTTAAAGGGATTGACGACACATTTAGCTCAGTTAATAGTTTTTTTTTTTAACGTTGGAAAATGCATTTACGCACGAGGTGTGGGACTCACTGGCAAAGCCAGTACTACCCACTAAAACCCAACAAAGCCTTCCCCCCTTTTAATGGGGCGTCGCAGAGTCGCTTACGCATTCAACTACGACGCCCCGAGTAGTGACCGTACTTGCTATGCCAGCGGTAACGGGTTCGAGTCTCGCTTTATTTGTGTGATGAACACGAATGTTTATACTCCAGTCATGGGTGTTTATATTTATAATGTGTACGTATTTAAAGTTATAGGTATATGTATAGTGTACCAACTATCTGGTATCCGTAACACAAGCCTCGTATCTTACCATGGAACTAGATGGTACTGTGTGTTAATGTCCCAACATATTTATTATTATAATGAACAAAATGTTTATGTATGCAAATTTATTGAAGACCGTTAGAAATCTCGTAGGCGATATGTAAATTCAATCGAGGCCGTAGCAAAAAATTTTTAACTGACACACCTCCCTAGTATAAGCCATAAAATATGTTTATAAATAGTTTTTATTACCCTAGAGTAGTTAATAAAATGTTGTAATGGAAGGCTTAGAATTTCATATTATGCATATTTTATTGTTTATTTCTTATGGCCCGTTCATTTGGTACTCAAAAAAATGGGTTATCTGTAAAGTTTTCCGGGAGTTTGGAAAATTGGTGATTTTGTAGATTTCAATGGGATGATAAAAAAACGTGCATTAAAATATTACATATTAAAATATTACATATATAAAAAAATTAAAAAAAGGTTCTATAGTTATAAGCCCGCACATAAGCATTTGCTAAGTTATAAGCCTTTAGCTACAGAACCAAGTCATTTTGTGCAAATAACTAACTAATATAAGATAAAGCACATTTTTAAGCAAAAATAAACAAAACGAATCTGACTTTAAAAGTGGAACGAGCCTTGCCTCTAGGAAGCAATAACAATGACTAATAAACATGACTAATAACATAAGCAGTTATGTTGTACATATAATTATGATTTAGGATGGATAATTTTATCGTAAATTTGCACTTAATTAGTAAATTATAAAAATAATTTATCTAAGACAAATTATGTCTAATGTATGAGGATCTGACCATGTCTGGAATCAAACTCAATACCACCTACCGTCCATAGATACTACTGTGCTAAGTGATCTATGTAGTATAGTAAAATTCATTATGTAAATTAAATAATTATGATATTACATGATCAAATATAATAATATTTACAAAACACGTTCAACCCACTATCATTAATTCTGAAGACGTTCGTACAACGTTAGCATGCAAAAATGTCTCGAGCAATCGATGACCGATTGTGTCAGTCACCGACCTTTAACTGTTATTATGTTTGATTTCTTTTTTTTAATATTTTTAACTTTGAAATCAATTTTCAAAAGCCATCTTGGCTTTCAGGAATATTCAATAATATTCTAAGTGAGTCCAATCTATATATTAAATATTTTTTTCGAAAATCATATTCAAATAGTAGTATGATATTTACTAATCTATAGTTTTTAGATTTTTTGTCTGTCTGTCTGTCTATCTATCTGTCTGTCTGTCTATCTATCTGTCTGTCTGGGAACAACCATGAGAAAACCACTGATAAGATTTTCATGAAATTTGGTATGGTGATAGCTTACATACAGCGCTGGATTTTCACTAGGGGCACTCGGGGCTAGGGCCCACGTCGGAAAAATTGGGAGGTTAGAAAAAAAATTCGCGTTATCGAAAATGCTTTATTTATATTCCAAAAAATAAATTATTAAAAAAATTTACTAGTAATTAAAATAAAAATTATAATTAAAAAATTTAAACTTTATCGAAACTTTACCCATTTTATGCAAAGTTACAATAATAGGGCGGCATTTTTTACAGTGCCCAGGGGCGGCGCTAAGATAGAATCCTGTACTATTTACATATATTATGATACTTTTTACTGCAGGAAAATATCTCATCTCAGAGAAATCTATACTTATTGACCATTAAAAGGTTCGTAGGGACGAAACTCGAGCGGAGCGAGGGTGAGTCGCTAGTTAAATGTATAAAATGATGTACAATGTGCCCTTATATTATTCACGTGTATATTTTACTTTTCTATTAGTATTTCAATAGTTGTAGCATATCAGCTTAGGTGAAGTGTACTATATTTAGAAAGATTTTTTTATTTTACAATTTTAATTTTATTGAGCGCATAGAGCCTACATGGTTTAAATTACTACCAATCACACTAATAGACACAAATTAAACATACATACTTCATATAAAATATTCATTTAATTTTTTATCGTCATTTAAAATCTTAGGTCCAACAATTTGCACCATGTCTAAGGTGTTCAAGAAAATAAGCACTTAAATAATTTTAAATAGCACAATCGTTCTAACCTTACCACACTTCTACGGTCTAACCGGTTATCACGTGGTCTGTAGGCATGGTATAATAAATACCATGGTAACAGCTGCTATGCCAAAAATAACCATATTGATAGGTTTATAGATTTATTCGATAACCATATTAATTACAAAATATGCTTATCTTTATTGTGATTGACAGAAAAAGTTTTTTTTTGTTGTCAAAGTACGTAGAAACAACAAAAAGTAAGAACTAGAGACACGTCGGAAACTGTGGCCACATTAATCACAGTTAAAAATCAGTGACTGTCAAATTGATTTTTTTATTAGACTTACAGGAGACATTCTTTTAACTAGCGGACCCTACAGATGTTGTTCTTTTTTATCCATTGAGAAATGCATTACGAATACCATCTTTATACACACAGGTTATGTGGAACTCACCGGCCAAAAAAGCTAGTACTATCCAATAAAACCCAACGGAATCTCCAACGATCGCTTACGCACTCAACTACGACGCCCTGTCGGCTGGCTTGCCGAGGTATACCAACTAAGAATTTGCTTCTACGGTTGTCCAGTCCCAAATTTATTTTATTTATAATGTTTGAGGTCATATAAAATGTGTAAAAAAGCAGTTTCAGCCCCAAAAACCCTACTCGAAGTATAACGGAATTTAATAAAAAAATGCCATATCGGTCCACTGTTATAAAGTGCACAGCATATCATTTTTTTATACAGATTATAAAAATGAACTGACTTAAAAAGCTCCTCGATTCAAGTTGGTTGTTTGATTGAAATGTTTATATATAGGTATACGTAAGCAATTAAAGAAATAAAAGAGTAAAAAACTTTTGTATATTTTTTGTAAGTAACTTAAAGATATTTTTTAATTAAAATTATCTTTTGTAAATCGAATGTTGAATATCATAGTATTACCGTCTAAAAAATTATTTCAAAGATTTTTGTACAGACAACGAGGTCAATAGCCTCGGTTTCATTCGCTAATTGTGTACATTATTTCAAGTAGATACTCTTTAAAAAATCACATAGCCTGATATTTGATCGTATCAGTTTTTTAGATGCTTGCTTTATACAACTTTGAGATTGTAAAAAATAAAAATATTCAGTAATATTCAGTTATTGAGAACAAGGCTAATGATCACAGCCTTATTGAATTACTTTGTGATATATGTATATTACTTATACATACGTATATGTCTATGATTTTTATTCATAATATTCAAATAAGCAAAAAAATAAGTTATGTTTATGTTTTCTTATAAGGTGGAACATTTCAACATACTCGTATGTGTGAAATTTTGTATTAAATTGAACTTTGGCACGTTTTGAAACCATATTAACAAGAAAATTGAATTGAATTAAATTTACCTTCACCAGTTTTCTTTAATAATAAAGTGTATAAGTTATAAATATTTAAATAATAACGATAACGTTAGACGTATAAACTTGAAATTTTGTTGGAATATCTCTCGAATTTATACTGGTGGTGTTCCAATTCAATAAAAATATATATTATAGGGAAAGGAAATATATATTATAAAAGGGAAAAATATATATTCAAGTACATAAGAAGTATTCCTATGACCGAAAATCCGCTAATATTATAAATCTTTTCTTTATGCGTAATATATAACACTAAACATCTTTTCATACATACATAATATGTTAATTTTAAAAACATAAATTTCTGATAAGTAAGTATATATAATATACGAGTATGTGTAAATTAAATATATATTAAAAAATATATTTTTTCTTACCAATATATGGTATGAAACGCCAAGTATTTCCAAGTAATGGTAGAGGCTTTGGACCAGGCACTTCCTCCCAGGGTTTCACAGAAGGAGTAAGGGTTTCTAAGACGGACGCCACAGCATGTGTTGATCTCGCGCGATGACTTTGAGCTGGACATGATTGTAGCCGAGAAATATTACCTGAGTAAATAACTACCATATTAACATCATACTGCTTTAATAAAGTAATGAATAGTTAAAAGAAATATATTTTTTTTATTGTGATTAATCGATTACGATGAAACTTTAATAAGTTAGTTTGGAAAGGATAATTTGTGTTTTATTAGGTCGAATACAATACCTACAACCATAATATGTGTTAGATACACGTATGTACATACCCCATATACTATCTGTAAGGATAGTGATATAGTATATTAGTATGTATGTCTATGAATAGTACATTAACGCCACTTTAAAGTTGTTCCGTTAAATAAAGCCAGTCCCGACCCTATATTTTTTTACATTTTAGCAGTACTAAACTTCCCTTTCCTTATAATAAAAATTAAAAAAAATCATTAAATGAATTACTAATTACTATAAAATATTTTATTTATTACCTAAATCCGAACTTTCTGTTTTTTGATTCGCAGTAGCAGTCGTCCCCATATAACGTCCTATTCGTCGTAGTGGCCATTTCACAACATATGCGTGATTCCTCATCTTACCAACTACGTGATGGCTGTAATTAATAATAATTTTATAAAATTGATAATTATAAAATCATCTTGATAGATTTCGGTCACGGCCAATCTCACTGAGACAAGTAGTTATAGTGTACAGCTGTACGCGCAGACACAAGTGCACTCACTATTTCTTTCCTTCTCAAATTCCCATAGGACGATAATTCGATAGGACCTGTGAGAGATCAGGCGCAGAGCCCTGGACCCGAGTTGCAGTTAGATCTGCAACCGTACGATTTAAGCTAGACCACAGAGGCAGTTAAGTTTGTCCGGTACTCTATCAGCGGTATTTATTTATGTATAATTGCTTAAAGCGATCCTTGGGATCATAGCGTCAGGACTAATAGTGTAAAAAGTTTTTTTTAAGGCTGAATTGTATTTAGAAATTATAATGATTACAAACAAAAGAACCAGAAAAAAAATCAAAAATTTTATTTAGAATATTTGTAATATATACACATTAAATAAAATAAAGACGGTTGTGAATATAGTAATGAAATATAATATAAAAAATAAGTTAATATTTTTTATTATGGAAAACAATTACCAAAAAGTAAAATTTTCGTAAAAAAAGTAAGTGGACTGGTTATGATAATAAAAAAAGTAATTTTGTAGATTTACACACTTTCTTAGAAATTTATTTCTAAGAAATTAATTAAAATTCTAAGAAATCTATTGTTAACTGACAAGTTATAGATTTCTTACAGACCCTCCACGACCGCGGACACGCCGCGCCGGCGTGTCCGCGGTCGTGGGATTAAAAAAAACATGCGTTTTATACTGTGTGCATATAAATTTATAAATATTGTTGCGACCTTCACTACCACAACATATGTATTGTATGATAGAGATCACAACATCCTGTAATACAAGTGCAGTAAACTTTATGCATTAAGTTTTGCAATTGCAATTTTTAAAAGACTGTATAATATAAAATTATACCAGTCATAATCTACACCTACCTACATATAATAAAAGTGTAACTAATCGCTGTCTGTACATGAACGATATTTAAGAAAAACTATTATTGGGGGTCTTTATTAACGCAACAGAACCTAAAACAATGATTTTTAGATTTTTTGTCTGTTTCTCTGTTCGTTTGTGCGCTCTAATTTCAGAAACGGCTTAACCAACTTGGGTGCGGTTTTCACTAATGTGGTAAGCTTTACTTAGTATTTGTTTTATTTCAATCGGTTCATAAATAAAAAAGTTATGTCAATTTAAAAAATCACTTTGGGACGGATCCAAGCAAAGTTAGGGTGAGTAAACCTCAGACTAAGGAATAATATAGACAGAATGTCAAAAGACTACTCATAAAGCCGAACGAAACTTTATTTTAAAATAAATAGTATATAAATGAAAATATATGTAAATAAATATATATATTAATAAATAAAAAAGCTAATGGACCTTAGAATAATAAAGAAAAAATAATTAAGAGGATTGTGAAGTGCCGATACGCGGCGAGAGTAGGTATTTTTAAAAATGCTATCTGTTTCATACCGCTTTGCATCCCCCCGGCAGTGAACAACACAAATACAACATACGCAAATTCTCACACACACTATGATAGCAGCAGCCGGTGACGCGCGGGCGCTTGCGGGGGGCGGGGGCGGGGGCGGCGCGACTCGGCGCAAGAGCAATTTCAAAGTTTATCTAATATCTACGGTTTGCGTACTATATACATTCCCTACAAGTTACATCGCACCTTTATTCATAAACTGAAATAACTCTAAATTACAATTTTGTGGCGAATATCATTTAAAATTTGACTTGTTTAGATTGATGACTTCAAAAAATCATAGAAAAATAAATAGGTGATTTAGATCAATTACAAAAAGCTCGTTCCAAAAGTTGAAAGTTTTAGAATTTTTTGTTGTTTATGTACTAATAGACCCATCGGAATCCTTTTATTTTTAAAATAATTTATTTATTGCAAACCTGAAGTTTTATGATTTTAAAATGTTAGCAGGTATATAAGGAATAGAAATTCATAAAATGACCTGATCATGAATGATGATGATTTACGATTTTTTAACAAATCTTAATATATATATTTCTTGTGTGCGTGTGTATGTGACTGAACTCCTAAACGACTGGACCAATTTTGATGAAATTTTTTGTGTGTGTTCAAGGGGATCTGGGAATGGTTTAGATTCACAATTTGAATAATAATTTTCATCAAAAAAATTATTAAAAAAAGTTTGAAATTTTCAAATTAAAGACGTGTAGACAGGACAACGTCTGTCGGGTCCGCTAGTCTATGACTAAATTTTATAAAATATATCAACTTAATTTTTTAAAATATATTTTTAACTAATGAATAAACAAGATTAGATTACGAATGAATTTCATTTCTTTTTGTAATTGTCCTAAAATCATTTTTTTCAGAAAAATCAATAAAATTAACTGCAAAAACTAATAAAATATCGATAAATTCGAAAAAAATATAACGAATAGTATGTGTATATTTATAAATATACATATGCTATTCGTAATATTTTTTTTAAATTATAACGAATATTATAAATTATAACGAATATAAAATTAAAAATATAAATTTTACAAAAATAAAAGTATTTTTAATGCTCCTTCTAAACGGTAGTAGTCCAGCAATTAGCAAAAGAAAGCGCGTGACCGATGGAGGGCGAGGGGTGGAGGGGTGTAGGAAGACCCTTACTCATTTAAACTTATACAAACAAATATCTCGAAAACTTTGAGGTTATCGTAGAAAGTGTTATTTATCAAAGTTGTAGATTTTTACTAGACCTTTTACATTTGTAGAAAATATTTTTCGATAGAACGTCACAGTGAGCCGGAAATTGAAAAAAACTATTTTTCAACGCTTTGCGTCCTCCCATTTCTCGAGTGTAGCTGGACAGATGGGGCATTTTACGAATTTCTAATCCTTATATACCTGCTAACATTTGAAAATTATAAAACTTCAGGTTTTCAATATATTGTTGTCAAATTCCGATTGGACTATAATACTAGTATACATACCAAATTTTAGCTTTCTAGGACTTCAGGAAGTACCCTAAGAGTTTTGATGATCATCAGTGAGTCAGTGACGAAATCGGAGTTTTTTAGATATCAATAAAATCTAATGTAAAAGAGCTATGCAATTGAAACTTTTTATGTTTAGCTAGCATTGCCCGCGGCTCCGCCCGCGCTCATATGACCAAAAACAAATTCGTAGGTTTTACATATTAGTATATTCGTACATTGCAGTTTTGTATTTTTTCTCAGAAATGAGATATTTTCCCGCGGTAATCCTATATGTTGATCCGGATACCACCACCAGCTACCACCACACCAAATTTCATCAAAATCTCTCCAGTGGTTTTTCTGTGACGTGGTAACAGACAGACAGACATACAGACAGACAGACAAAAATTCAAAAAACTATAGATTCGGCCTCTGTATCGATAATAATGTTTATTTCAATAATATTTTCCAAAAACATATTTAATGTACAGATACGGCTTAGTTACAATCTATACATACGAGTATAATAAAATTCTAAACTTTGGATTGAATCCTTTCAGTATCGATCGATATATCGATATTACCTTCTCCTCCCTAGGAGATAATAATATCGATAGCACCTTCAACATCACTACAGTCTAAAATATGCCCCTGCCCCCGACCCGTATGGTGCGATAGAGAGAGTTGCAAGTCTTAGACTCAATTACCTACATTTCCTTTTTGAAATATTGTTTCGGGCGATAACGTTTTCACCCCCCTAAACATTAACGAAATGAGACGATTTTGGTCTCATTAGATTCAGTACACCTTAATCTAGGTCTGTACGTTTTCCTTTTTTTGTAATTCAGTTTAGTTTAATTTAAAAAAATAAAAACGCTGGAGGAAGTTTTTAGGTCAAAAATATAGATATTTAGATGCTAATAACTTCTGTCGTACGCAATATTTCAAAAAAATAAAAACGTACGGACCTAGATTTTGATTATATCTACAACATTTCCAAAAATTATGAAAATTAGACTATGTTTAAGGGGGGAAAAACGTTATCGCTTTTTGTATGAAAATTTACAGGTTCACAATCCTCTTAAATAAGCTAATATTATGCTATTTCTCGTTCTACCGGTGCTTAAAAAATACAAAAGTATATAGTATTATTTTTTTATTCATATTTTACTCTCAAAAATTGTATATTGATTTAACTAAGACACATATAATATTCTCTCCTCGCCTATATATAATATATACACACATACATATTTACTATTACTATATTCTCTATGAAACTTACGTATATAATTGCAAGCACTATATGGTTAATCCCTCCACGACCTTTTATTGTGTACGTAAAGTAAACCTGTTAAAGTATTAAAATAACTTTCAATAAAAGTTTTCAAGTTATATACCTTAAGGTTTTTATAAATTCTCGAAGTATAAAACAATTTCAAAATTCAGGTCAATTTACGTGTAAACGGTGTTTTGCGCAAGATTGTGATTTTAAACTAAAAAATATTCTTAAGGCGATTTTAAAGCTTTTTCGAGAAAGAGTTACAACAAACGGTACGAACGAATAATATGTCCGCTTAAATTTCATTGACCTCGTTTTTAGAATAGGATAATATTATATTCTTGGATACAGAGCTTAACAAAACTTTTAGTATACATAATTAATTATCCTTTGTATAACATGAACGATGTATTAATCATGTTTAAGAGTACGAACGTAAGTTCAAATAGGTGAACACTATTCTTGAGATTGAATAAAATAATGTGTGTGTGTACTTATGTACGCGTGTAAGACGTTATATTTCTTTGGCGTAACAGAACAAATATTGCTAAAGATTTCATCCCGTAGGGATGTCACAACTCTCTGTTCGTAAAAGGAATGCAGCTAACTTCATCATGTCGGTTTTTGGCTGTCGGTGTGCGCGCACATCGTCAAAA